CGCTCACTCCTCCTACTCTCTCTCTCTCTCTCTACTTTGCGGCTCAAAACCAGATAAAGAATGAGATGGGTTTCTCTTCTCTCTCTCAATGTGTGACTTGCTATGCGTTCTCTCTCTCTCTCTCTCCAAAAGCAGAAAATATGAGAGAGACGGAGATGGGTTTCTCTCCCTTAAAAATTTCAGCACGTAATATAACCTGTCGAGATTGCTTGCCCCCCACAAACTCAAAGGGAAAATAACATCACATCGCTGTCTCTCTCTCCAAGTGAAATGGGTCTCTCTCTCTCTACCAAGCATTTAACGGGCCAACAAGTTAGAAAATAAATCATTTAAGTCGTGGAACATTTTGGACTCACATGTCTTGTTTAGGTTTTTTATAATTTTTCATTTAAAGTTGTTTTGATGTGAAAATGAAAATGAAAAAAACTCCAAACGGCTCATAAACCTACATCTGTTTATCTACACTTGTTTTACGTAGAAATTTATTCGATAAGACATGACGTCAATTTCTCCATTTCCTCTTTGACCACGTCAATTCCTCGGCGATTGCAAAAGGTGTTATCACGATGGGAAAGTATGGTCTCCATACTATATGCGGTCCATAGATATAAAGCACCTACCTAAAAAATAAGCGTAACAACCGTTCAAATATTTTTTTAACATAATTTTTTTTTTTTAATATTCACAATCTCTATGTTAAAGATTCTATACATTCTTTAAAATTTAGGATCAACTTATATTTTAAAAATATATTTATTGCCAAGCCCGCATTTCTATATTATGCAGGCTGACCGCATAAAAACTTTGTCCTTATTATATAGAAGTTCTAAACTTCCCTCCATTCAGCCATCCAAATTAAATCAATCAAGTAATTGACCATTTGATTTAGATATGACATCTTATTGTATTTTATTTTTAGTTTTTATTCTACACATTATACGAATATAAAAAAAATCTAATAAAATAACTAAAATAGCTCTAAATCTTTCAAGGGCATTTTAATTTATTAAAAAAAAAATTTATGTTTTTTTACAGATGCAAGTTTAATAGAGGAGTGGACGCCTAAAATTTGATGTCAAAATATTTAGTAGAAAAATAATTAAAAATAAAACAATGTGGAGATGTGACATTGTAATTGGATCTATCTCGGCCATTCATTCAGATCTGATGGCTAGATAAGGGGAAGTATATAACTACCATACATTAGGGTAAGTATAGAAAGCTTGCTCAAACTATATGGCATTTATCTGTAGAATAAGGATCTTACAGCTGCATCAAGTGTCAAATATAACAGTTTAACATATGTTATGGAGTTGGAAAAATTTTCTATTAACTTCGAGCCTAATTAATCATACACTCTCAGCCTTTCGATTTCAAATATAACATCAAAATTAATTGTGACTTCTTTATGCAAAAGATAAAAGATCTTATTGTATATAATTCCTATTAAGATCCGCATAATCATTGCAATAGTAGGTTATATGATCATCACTGAAATAAGTAGAATGGATGGTGATGAAGAGCTGCCCCACCAACCAGTTCAAAGTGCACTGCATGCCCTAGTGCTCATTCATCACCAAGGTATGATACTTATGAAGATACTATTAGCATGATCTTATGGATCACACTAATGTTTTAGAATCCGCTCAGGCATCGAGGCCTTCAGAGCTGAGTAAGTCAACCCAGTCCAAATGGATTTGGTTCGTTGATGTACATGGCCCAAATAACTTTAAAATATTAAAAAAATTCAAAAATATTGAAAGTTAAATAAAAATTTTAAAAAAATACTACAAATTAAAAAATTTAAAAGTAAAATTAAATTAAATTTTTTTTTTAATTTAGTGTCTATTCAATGCCATTTTTACAACCACTTATAATAAAATTTAAGGGACAAGAATTATTGTGACCTCCCCCGACAAAAGATGAATGCTCTTTTTGTAGACAATTCCTTATAATATCCCCACAAAGCTGTAGTTCCAAAAAGCTATTTTAATGTTCAGACCAATTGGGGTATGCTGTAATTTTAGCATTCGACACTGGCTTTTATAAGGTCAAAAAAATTACCGGATTTAAATCATTAAATAAGAGTCCTTATGATTCATAGTTCCGAGAACAACATAATCAAAGAAAATAATAATTTATTCACGAATTATGACAAAAAATACCAAAATACCCAAATCAATCGACCAATGTTTTTAAACTCAGCTCAAGCCTCGGACTCGGTCCTAGCCCAAGCTGAATAACTTGGCCGAATAGTTAAAAAGGTTAAAAAATCGAAAAAAATATGAAAATTTTTGTTAAAAGTATTAAAAATAAAAAAAAGTAAAATAAGTACCAAAATTCATTAGAAGTCAATGAAAGAAGATTATTAAAAATTTTGATTTATACCTTGAAATATTCAGAAAAATAACCAAAAGGTGAAAAAAAATCAAAATATAGGCAGAAAAGACTTCCCAAATCATCATAAAAAAAAATATAAACAATGTAAAAATATTGTTCTAAATTATTTAATTAAGAATTTGAAACAATATTTAGAACTTTCAACCACTTTAAAAAGACCGAGTTAGGCCCCTAGACCTCGCCTCGGCTCGAGCACTAGAAACACTGCAAGAGACAAATCATTTTCAGGCTTAAGTGGTTAACAGTTGACATGTACGAGTGTCACGTATCAAATTCGATTCTTACCTCTGAATTACAGAAAAAAAAATGAAAAAAAAAAAAGAATTACCTCAAAGAACCAAATGCGTTGATTTTTAATTAATTTGATGCCTTCATTTCTTCAACTAATCATCCCATCTCTCTTAATGACCCAAACGGTCCTAGATCTATGACGGTAAGAACCTAGATCTATGACGGTAAGAACGGGGGGTTTGAACATTTGGTTAAACTGAAACATCGCAGCCTCGTGGAGGATTCAATAATAAACTTCGAATAACGACATATGTGTCGCCATCTCTATGAAGAAAATCTGAGTCAGAGAGAGAGATTTTTACTTTATTGTTGTTCAGTAGACAGAGAAAGGCTTATTTTATTGGGTTTTGGTTTTTCACAAGAAAGGGAGGGGTGCGCTGTGAAGTGTGGAGGACGAGATTGTATTTCTACTTCTCTTAATTTGGAATGATATATGTTTATCGCTTTGCAAATACCAGTAATTTAAAGCACAATCCCCAAAGAAAACAAAATGAAAGCAATAAAAAAAAGTAGATGGAAGGGTGGGTGGTTCTGTCTAGGTACGGATGTTTTCTTGACCTAAAGCTCAAAAGTTGTAAACCATTTGTGTATGTGAGAAAGTGATTTTGAGAAACCATCCTTGGTAGATTGTAAGTGAATGAGAAAGGTATCTAGGGACAATGTTTTGAGATAAGGGTCGCAACGGGCGGGGCCTAGCTGTCGCCCTGGCCGAAAAAAAAAAGATGAAGAAAGAAGAAAAAACAAGGAAAAAAGGGGGCTGAGTGGGGCGGGGTTAAATCGGGCCATATTAATCGGTTTACGAAAAATCAAACCGGAACGGTTAACCGGACATGGGGACGGAAGCGGTTCAACCAGCCTAAACGGTAAACCACCTGATTCAATTGGCATAACTGGGCAATTCTTAGGCGGTCAAAAAAGTGTTAAAAGATAAAAAATACAAAAAAATCTGATAAAATATGAAAATTATATTTAAAGTATGATTAAACATAGCACATCCAAATGAAGTTGAAAATTAATGAAAAATAATAGATTTCAAGAATCAATTATTTCCCAAGGGTATTTTTTGAAATTTTTCAAAAAAGATGGAAAAAATGTAAAAATAAATATTAATTACCAAAACAATTTTCAATCTTTGCCAAAATGATGAAAAACATAAAAAAAATGCATTAGAAACAAAATCTTTATTTTTGGGGATTTTATATAATTTCTTTAATTTTTTTTGAAATACCCGGCCAGTTCTCCAAAACCGGCTAGTGGCCGGTTCTGATCTAATGGGGTCTAACCACACGGTCAAAATTTGAATCGCCCGATTTTTCTTATAATGGTACTAACCCTAGGTTAACCTGTTGAATTTGGGGTTATCCAAAATCATTCACATAAGGAAATTACATATTATGTGGGATTGTGATTGATATTGACAAGTTTCGAAAAAGAAATAGAAATCCAATAAGAGTAGGATTCTTGGATATATCTCTTAGTGTTTGAGATATATTTGAGATATATGTAGTATCGGTAAGAAGTTTCCTATTTAGTTTGGATTTTTTAAGCTTTTATATATATATATATATATATATATATATATATATATATATATATA